TGTTGAAACATTTTAATTTTTTTTTTTAATTTCATATGTCACATATAGCCATAATAAAGAGAGAGAAAAAACATTTTATTAGTTATTAAATTTTTTCTAAAAGAATAGATAAAGCAATTAAAACTTAGTAAGAATTGGACAGCTTAAGTTATGACCCACATTTCAATTCAGGTAGCTTTTGCGCGGGTCAATAACTCGTCCATTTATTAACTTAGCCCAATTTGACTCACTCAAATTCAACGCAACCCATCCATTCGACACCTCTAATGTAATTGCAACCCATTTAGGCTGCGGACTCCTCATATATATATCCCCACTAGTAAACTTTGTATGAAACAACATTAGTTAAGTAATAGCATCTTCACAGAGTTCAACAATTATTTCTATTAATGAATTTCATATGGCAAAATAACTTTTAATTATTTAGTAATATAATTCTAGGTTGTTTTTGGACTTCGCTTTGTGGGACTACATTGGGTAAGTTGTTGTTGTTGTATAACTCTAGGTTGTTTAAAGAATTTCATATGGAAAATACTTCATTACAAACACTTGTAGGGAATTCTCAATTTCTCATAGCTTGAGACATGTCTGATTTAGGGATTTAGTAGCAAAAGAAAGAACAATAGTCCATTCGAGTATGGAATGTATTGTTGTTAGGAGCTTATACACAAGTAGTAATGTAAGAATCCAAGCATGTCAAAAAACACTGTCATTAAGGATATTTTAACTGATATAGATGTATCCCCTAAGATTCAACAAGTTCTTCTAGTATAAAATTAGGAGTACAAAAACTAACAAAGATAGACAAAAGAAAACCCATCCAAAGAAAATAGAAGTGAATGTATTTGTCTTTTAAAAACTCTATCAAGAAAAAAACTTTGTATTTCCATGAACTATCTCCCAAATGAAAACATTTAGTAATATATAGCTTGTAGCAATAGATCGATATAGAAAAATGTGAATAGAAATGTTGCTCTTATTTATTTAATAAAAAAACTGATATTCAAGAGTTGGTGAACTTGCAGAAGATGGCTCAAAATGACATTGACAATGCGTTAGATCAGCTAAGATGGTACAAGAGTGGAGGTGATTTGGCTAGAATCAGGATTGGTGTAATTGAGATGCTTGAAATAAACCTAAGATTTTTTAGAACCTTTATAAAGTACCATCATGTTCTTTTTCCTAATTCGTATGTCGAACTCAGGCGGACGTTCAAATCAATTGTGGAATTGCTTCATGTAGTTTTTCGTGGAATTCCAGATGAATGCAAAATTAACCTTAATCTGGAAAGGCTGGAATCATACTTGCTAGAGTTCATTGAAGGTAATACCATTTTAAGGTATAATTATGAGTTGAATGATTCCTATTTGTCGGAATATATGGACTGGCTCGGAAAGAATCTAAATTATGTACTGGTGTTACTGGAATTCTTTCCTCCACCGAATAAAGAAAAATTTGAAATAAATGGAATTATAAAGCAAGTGAAAATCATTCAAAAGAAAATGAGATTTTTGAGTTACTTATATGCAACAGAGATAAATGGTTACGTCGACCATGAGAAGCTGGAGTTTTTAGAGACTCGAATTCAGTTCATGGCTAACAATGTGGAACAGTTTTGTCGTTCGTTTAGCATTGATGAGGAGGATGAAGATTTCATCTTGGATAAGCCTCCATATCTGTTATGCCTGATTGTGCTAGTGGAGCTGGAAATGAAGAAGATTTTTCTTGGTGAACTAAAGGCTTCAAAGTTTACTCAATCAAGAACTTTTAAGGCCAACAAATTGCCAAAAGGACTCTCACATCATCTCCACAGTCTTCTGATGTACCTTAAAAACAAAAAGCTCGAGAACTTTCCTAATAATGTTTCCGCTCGAAATATTGATGTAGCAATAGAGTTCTTGTTGGTTTTCCTTAATGCTGATGTGTCAAATCATGCTATTGATGGTAACTGGTTGAATGATGTTATGGAAAAGGTTGGAGCTATAGCGGGTGATGTTCTATACGTAATTCAAAAGCTTCTACCTAGCTCTATAAACAAAGATGACACTAGCAAAATCAATATTTGGTCGATACAGATATTGGAGAAAACTAAAGATCTTAAGGCACAAGTGGAGACGTACTACAAATCCTTAAAATTCACTCCACCATCTAAACATCTGCCAACTCGACCTAGCAATCCTGTGAATGATGAGGAGATAGTAGGATTTGAGAATGACACAGAAAAGATGATTCAGTATTTGATTAGAGGTACAAATGAGCTAGATGTCCTCCCAATTGTAAGCATGGGAGGACAAGGGAAAACGACTATTGTTAGCAAGGTGTATATTAATGGCATAATTGTTTCTTACTTCAATGTTCGAGCATGGTGCATCATTTCCCAAACATATAACCGGAGAGAGCTATTACAAGAAATGTTTAGTCAAGTTACTGGTTCAAAGGATAAGGAAGATAAGGATGACATCCTTGCTGACAAGTTGAGGAAACACCTAATGGGAAAAAGATATCTCATTGTCTTGGATGATATGTGGGATGGCACTGCATGGGATGACTTAAGGCTTTCCTTTCCAGATGTTGGAAATAGAAGCAGAATAGTAGTAACAACTCGACTTGAGAAAGTGGGTGCCTATGTCATGCACCATATTGATCTGCACATCCTTCTATTTCTCACACCAGAAGAGAGTTGCCAATTGTTGCAGAAAAAAAGTATTTCAGCAGGAAGGTTTGCCCACCTAAACTACAAGATGTGAGTCTAGCAATTGCGAAAAGATGCAAAGGATTGCCTCTAGTAGTTGTCTTGGTTGCTGGAATAATCAAAAGGAAGAAAACGGAAGCCTCTTGGTGGGAAGTGGTTGAAAAATCTCTTCTTTCCTCTCATGGTGAATCTGAAGGATACAGTCTGTCAGTTGTGCAGTTAAGTTATGATAACTTACCTGACCATTTAAGACCATGCCTTCTTTACATGGGGATGTTTCTGGAGGACGCAAAAATTCCAGTGTCTAAATTGATAAGTTTATGGATTGAGGAAGGTTTCGTGCAGAACATTGAATCTGGGAGAGTAATGGAAGAGGCAGCGGAAGGTTACTTGATGGATCTCATCCACAGTAACGTGGTAATGGTTTCAAAGAGAAAATATAATGGTAAAGTCAAATATTGTCAGGTTCATGATGTGGTGCTTCACTTTTGCTTGGAGAGGAGTAGAGAAGAGAAGTTTATGCTACTAGTAAAGGGGCATTATAGCCACCAGTTTCAACCTTCTGAATGGAAGAAAAGTCGAGTGAGCTTCAATTACAGTAATGAGCTTTCCAAGTTTGCATCTCTGATATCCAAAACACGGAAAACTTTTAATCAACACTTGAGGTCATTGATAATGACGAATGGAGGTCTATTTCATATCTCATATGGTTGGGATCCCTTCCGTCAGTGTAGTAAATTGAGACTTGTTAAGGTCTTGGATTTGAGTTCTCATAAAGTGGAGTGTTTGTCGTCAGCTACATTGCAACCACTAATTCACCTGAAGTACCTTGCACTTCACACAAGTAAATTTGATTTTCATCCAGAATCACATCTTCCCAATCTCGAAACTTTGATTGTGAATTGTTATGCCAACACTATGTTGTTACCAAGGAATTTTTGGAAAATGGGAAAATTAAGGCATGTTGACATGCATTTGCCTGAATTTGATAAGCAAGGGATCTTTGAAGAATCCTCTAAATTGGAAAATTTGAGGATATTAAGGGCAGTTGTAATTGAAATTGATATGGTGGATCTGTTATTAGGGAAGTGTCCTAATGTTCAAGAACTTCGAATCAGGTTTAAAGGCAATAGAAAATCCAGAGAGCCTTTTTGTCCCACATTGGAGTCTTACCAAGCTTCAATCAGTTTGCATTTCCTTTATGGGGTCCCCAATTCCATCGGAGTTACACTTGCCTTCAAATTTTAAAAAACTGGTATTAGATGGGATTCATATAGAAAAAGCAATTTATTTCACTGTGGGACTACCAAATCTGGAGTGTCTCCATTTAAGGGATTTCACTCATTCCGAAGAGTGGTACCTTCCTATAGATATCACACTGCATAAACTTAAGTTCTTGAAACTGTCCTACTTACGTATCTCAAGGTGGAATGTCTCGGAGGAATCCTTTCCCCTGCTTGAAACACTTGTTATAAATGGGTGTTGTGAGCTTGAGGAGATCCCGTTAAGCTTTGCAAATATTCTAACACTGAAACAGATTAAGTTGATGTACTCTGGGAACGAATCTCTGGAGGCTTCAGTTGAGAGAATTAAAGAAGAAATCACAGAGAATGAAGGATGTGACCGTCTTAATGTCATCATTATCAAACTAAGTGAAAAAACAAACTCATATCCTGTGTGTGCTGCTTTTAAGTATCTAATTTGATAACAATGTGTTTAATACAGTGAGGAGAGCTATCACTGGCAGCTCTGTGTAACCACAACAATGGTATTGTTTTAGTTATTTTTTCTTTCTAATTATTCAATGCGTGCTTTCGCTTAATTTCTCCATGTTGATCTCAAACTAACGAGGATGTGTTCGAATTTGACAATTGCTTAGACAACTGCAGCAAAAGCACAGACCATGCTGAAGTCTATTGTGCGGCTAGCAGAAACGCCCATCCTCTCATCAACTCCTTTTCTGTATGTTTTAGATGATCGGAGACCAATATATATCACATGATCTGTCAAAACATTGTTTCGTTTTGTTTCTGTAATGTGTTGGTTGTTTTCCCTTCATCTTTCACCTTAATTACCACATTCATTTTCTTACGAGAGTGCTAATTATCATGCGATCCTATGTTCTCTTCTGCTTGCTTTGCATATGATACTTCATTCCTTTAATATAACAAGAAGGTAGATTGACTTATTCGTCGTGCTAATCCTTATTTACTTTAAACAGTTGGGTCTAGCGTGACGTTATATGCATCATTTCATGTATATATAATGTAATAACTTCCATTGATTGATAAGAAAAAGGGAAAGTGTGAACATGGAAACAATTGAGAATAAAATTCATACTTATAATGAATTGAAATGACAACTTGAAGTAATCCTCAAATTTTATTTAGTAAAAGCAAACAACAAAAAGGGCAATTGGAAAAGCTTCATGATCACCAAGGAGCATCAGCCTCCAATGTGAGTGCAATGCTTGCAGCTGACGGTGCACACGCCACACCTGAACTTTGGATTTGGCTCATTTCACGGCGTCCATTCAAATCTCTCCCCTTGCAAAATGCTGGCAAATACACCCCTGCCACAATATATGAAAAGTTATTGACACATTCTTTTTGACACCTAAAAACAAAGGAAATCTATAGCTTATTTACTAAAAATAGACGATTTACCTTGTACCCGCTGACAATGTTAAAAAACTCTTAGATCATAGATATTAGTATTATCATTTTATCAAGTTACAATTATATAATACTTATAAATGACATCTTTCAGTTGACCTGATAGTGCGTAGAAGTTAAGTTCAAAAGACATTTGAAGTAATGAAATGTAATACTACCTTCTCCCAAAGCCAAATTGTAGTAAAGATCAACAATGTTAGGGCACTTTTGGCAGCATTGTTGAGAGCAAAGCTTAGAGGTGAATGATGATTCAAGAAGGGAATCAGAAGAAATGCCAAGAGAGTTTCTATCAGCTCCACAAGCACTTATGCACTCATCACTTTCAATCAAATTTGTTATGCCAATATTGGAAACTAACACCTCTGAGGTCTTGCATTGGTACCCTCTTCTTCCCTCAATTGATTCATAACTCTCCAAAGAGCAACGCTTCCCTGACGAAGCAACTGAGTAGGCACACATTCCTATTGACAAATCTTCACACACAATTTCTCCTGCATTTTCAAAGCATGATAATACGAAACAAGATTTAAAGTCAGTGGATTCCGAATACAAATTTAGTACAAATGAATATAATTATGCTTAAATTATGGAGAAACTCATCAGTCCCCTAGACTAGTATTTATCGGCATTTAAATACTGTTTTATTTAAAATATATTTTGGATTGGTTTAAGAGTCGCCACTTAATTTTTTAAGAAAAATCAAGAAAACTATTCATTTCCACAAGACTAAAACAGGAATCTAGTGAAAACTTGTAAAGGGGTTCGAGGTTCTTATTAATATTCTAGGAAGGTTTTAAAAGCACCTAAAGTATCCACTAATGTGGTTTTCCGACAATTAAATTCTTTGGCTAAAATGTTTTAACTTAACTTGATTTGCTAAATTGTACTATTTTTTTAGTTAGGACCATAGAAAAATAATGAAATATTATTTAAGTGAAGTATTTCAAAAACTTATTTATTTATTATTTATTTATTCTTAGGTAAAGTGAAAGATGAGTAATATAGTTAAGTAATTAATTTAAAATGGGTGTCTTTCGGGGATTTGAATATCTCAACTTTAAGATTAACGACAAATATTAGCAAGTAAATTTTTATTATATAGAAGAGTGAAGACGACCGGACGACCAAGGGTAAAAGAGTCTTTTACTACTAAATAATAATATCCATCATCCACACACTAAAGAGGAATTTTCTAGAAAGATAAGCCCAAGGACAACCAAGGGTAAATGAGTCTTTTACAAAGAGTCTTATACTACTAAATAAATATGATTGAAGGGCAGAATAGTAATTGCCAGGGTATTGTCAATTTTTGTTTTAGATTAAAATTTTTTTTAAAAATAGGAATACTAGAAAGAGAAGGCCACGTGTACTTCTATCATCAAAAGCACAAAAAAAATCACAAGTGGCCGTACTATCTAAACATGATGGGACCCATTTTTAATTCAATTTATACTATTACATTAACACATTTAATTTTTGCACTAAAATAAATATAAAAAGAAACAAACATGATTTAAAATGTATTAAATGAAAATAAAAATATTTTAATTAGGGAGAATAAAAATAAAAATAAATAAATAAAATTAAACTAAGACTCTCACTAAATTTTAAAATAAATAGTTTTAAAATTTTGCGAATCAAGCATTGAAGAGAAATAATAAGTATTCTTCGTGTTCAATTTACGTACATTGATGAAAAGAATATTCTGATAGTAAAATAATTTAAATTTTAAGATTAAGTAGATTAAAATTTCATTAATTATAGTAGATTGTTTACTTTATTTACTTAATATTGCTATTCTTTTTCTTAAATAAGAAGTTAAGAATCGAAACACATGAAAAATCAATACATTAATTAGAAAAGTAAATAAATATAAGTAGATTAATATTTAGAAAGAGATGACAAAAATAAGCAAATAGCCGAGGAGTAAAAGAAAATTAAATGCAAAGTTAAAAACAATGGACTCCATTTTTGTACTCACTTCAAAAGTCTATGCATTCAAGACCACACATTTTTTTTAAAAAAATAATAATTAATTTGAGTTCATATTTATTTTTGAATGTACTTACTACTTTTAATGAGATTTTTTCATATTCAAAATTTAAATTCGAGGCCTTTTAATCATTATCTCTCTTAATCTGGTTCGGTTGTGAAAATATAGTTTTTATTTTATTAAAAAATGTATAATTAATGTCGTCTTTGGTTAAATTTTATATAAAAATATAAATATATTTTTCTAAAATGCATAATGCATAAATATGTCATTTAATTTGGTTTCATTTGACATCAGTGTCCTCCAATTTTGGATGTGCATAGTAGACACAAAAATTTGTATAGAAATGAACAAGTAGACACATGTGTCCTACTTGACGTCCTACGCGGCGATATAATTCATGTCCTATGCGACATTCTATGTGGCGTCTTACGTGAATTATGTCTCGTAGGACACGTTTGTCTACTTGTTCAACTTTATATTTCTATCTATTTTTATTTTTATTATTATTATATAGAAGAGTGAAGATGACCAGGACGACCAGGGGCACTTTTGTTATTTTACCAAAATTATCAGCTTAAAAAAATTGTACTTTCTGTAGGAAAATTATTGAATTTCCCAAATACCCAACCAAATTGCTATTATTATGATAGCCACGTGTACTTTCTATCATGAAAAGCATAAAAAATATCATAAGTAGCCGTACAATCTAAAAATGGTGGGACCCATTTATTAAATCAATTTATATTTCATTAACACCTTTACTTTTTGCACTAAAATAAATATAAAAAAGAAGCAAACATGATTTAAAATGTATTAAAAAATAAAAATATTTTAATTAGGGAGAATAAAAATAAAAATTAATAAATAAAATTAAACTAAGACTCTCACTAAATTTTAAAATAAATAGTTTTAAAATTTTGCGAATCAAATATTAAAGAGAAATAATAAGTATTTTTCGTGTTCAATTTACGTACATTAATGATAAGAATATTTTGATAATAGAATATTTTAAA